GAGGCGGCCGCTCCGCTGCTGGCCGGGGCTGCCCGCGGTCCGGGCGCTTCTCTCTGCCCTCTTCCTCCTCCTCTTCTCTTTTTTTTCCCCCCTACTTTTTCCCTTTTCCCTCCCCTCTTCGAGGTGGAGCCAAGAGGGATGGGAGACCAGGTAGGTTAACTCTTGCCCTGCCCGTCCGCCCCCCCCCCAGCCGCACCAGCAGGCAGAGGGGTCCCCAGTGCTGGCAGGGGAAAGGGAGGATGGGGTTTAAGGGTGTCACCTCACACTTCTCCCTGAGGACCCTCCTCGCTCTTGATAGAACACCCACCAGGAGCTGGGAGATCAGGGGGTTCCCACCCCGGCACCTCGGGCACAGTGGCCTCTCTGGGGTGCATTAGCCCTGCCCCATAGCTGTTAATTGCAAAGGATCCTAGTTAAGGCAAGGGGATCCCAGTGCTCACCAGGAGAGGTGCTTTTGGCAGCTGGGATTTGATCTCTGGAAAAGGAATGTGGGTCTTTTCTACCCCTCCAACACAGGAAGGTCACTTTGGGATGAACTCTGAAAGACAGCTGGGGCTCAACCCCAGTTTCTCATGCAGACACTGAGATCCCAGCTTTACCTCAGTATGCAGGGGCACAGCATGGTTTGGGATCCTTGGAGCAGTGGAGCCACACCTTACCCAGGACTCCCACCTCTCCTTGGACCCCCACCTCTGCTGGGACCCACAGTTCTCCCAGGACCCACATCTCAGGCTCCACAGTTCATCAGGGACCAACACTGCCCAGGCCTCTCACCTCACCAGGCACCCACACTCTGTCCAGGACCCACACATCTCCTGTGACCCATACCTCACTTGAGGGTGTGGGGAGTCGAGGGGAAGGGTTACTGCAGCAGGAAGGTGCCGGCTTGGCATGCCAGGACCTGACTCATGGATCAAATTGCACCAGCACCACAGGCAGGTGAGGGATCCTTCCAAACTTCCTTCAGCCCTGGTTCTGAGCAGTGTCTCTCCAGCATCCCTGCTTCAGCCATATCAGCATGGGACATCCCACTGCCCATTAAGAAGCAGATTTAAGACCTTCCTTTCCTCTTGAATGTAGCATTTCAGTTGAGGATGTTTTTCAGCCACGAAAATCAGCCCCCATCATTTCTGATGTCTCCTTTTTTGTCATCCTCCCATCCCCACCAGCTGCTCATATCGACCACGAAGCCAGGCTGGGAAGCCTGCAGGAAATCCTTTGGGATATTTCCTTTCCTGCCCAGCAGAGATATCCCAGCCCCTTTCCCCACAGCCCCTCTGCATTTTGTCTGAGTGCTGAGGGTCAGTGTCTCCCACAGCTCTCACAACACCCCGGACACATTGTGCTTGTCATGGGAAAGGCTCTTCTGTTCTGATGGTGGACATGCAGTGAGACCCACGCAACCTCTGCTACTCAAACAGCATTTGGTCCTGCTCCAAGACAACCCCAAGTCCAGCTCAGTTTA